GCACCTGCACACCGTGGGCTGGACTCCGGGGGCGGCAGCCTCTGGTGCTCCCCACAGCCCGTCCCCCCATGCCCCCCGGAGTTGCCCCTGAAGCCAGAAACACTAGAGCCTCTGGTTGGCCTCACACAGAGGCCCCCCGCGCCCCTATTTTGTGCACTGGACACTCGGCTGCCGGCTGTCCCCCGCGACCAGAGAGGTCTCCCGCCTCCTCGCCAGGCAAACAGCTGCAGCAGGAAATGGCCTCCGGGGCCAGCGCGGGGCCGCAGGGGCAGGGCAGGGTCGGGGGTCACGGGGACCTAGCGCTGGGCGAGTCACACCTGCTGGACAAGCTGGTGTCCCTGGTGCCCTGGGAGCTCAGCAGCAGCCCCTGCCCAGCTGGGCGGCCACGAGGTGCCCTCTCACCCACGTCCAGCCGTACAGACCGCCCGAGAGGGACGGACAGACAGACAGCGGCAGAGACCCGCAGCGGGCGCGGCCCGGCCGGCGCGGGTGAGGCGTGGCCGCGGGCCCCGGCGCGGCCTGCTGGGGTAACTGAAGGGTCAGCTGGAGTCTGGGGCCGGCCTGAGGGGCCTGGCAGAGCAGCACAGCCCAGCCCCGCGACGGGCTCCGGGGCCCCCAGCTGCTCACAGCCACGGCCCAGGCGGGACGCGCGTGTCACCGGACGGCTGAGTGCCAGCCTGGGGGCGGGACAAGAGCCTGGGTCCAAGTGCCAGCCACGCCCTTGGGCTCCCCATAGCCAGTTGGGGGGCCCAGGCGTCTGGTGGAAGACAAAGCAAGGGGACAGGCCGAGGGGCAGCTCCCGCCTGGGTGCTGTGGGTGCGTGTCCCTCCCGGAGGACCAGCCCAGAGTGCTGGCCTGGCCCCAGTGGTGACGGCCACTTCCCCAACGGCCCCTCCTTGGCCGCTGATTCGCCGGACCCGTGGCAGCGCCACCTGGTGGCCATCGCTCAGGCTGCAGCTGCCGTCCCGCATTCCCGTCAGAGATTTCAGAAACCGGGGCTCCCCCCCCCCTGCCCCCACAAGAAGGCGTGAGGGCTGCCTGTCGGGCCGCCGACCCGGGCTGCCAGAGGCCAGGGCCTCAAGGGGGGGCGTAGGCGGGCGGAGACCCCTAGAAGGGGAGCGGCGCGGAAGGCGGGAGTCGGCGCTGGCGCGAGTCGCCTGCAGCGGGTCTTCACTTGCAGTCCAGCGAGGGGAGTTAGTCAGGCAGCCGCAAGCCAGGAAGACAGGGCGCAGCAGTCCTCAAGGCAGAGGGACGGTGCTCCTCTTCCTGCGCCCGCTCGCACTGGGCTGCCCGCACTGGCGGTGACTGTCGCGGATGCGACGTTTAGCTGTGACTGCAGGCGTCAGGGGCTGCGAGCGGCCGAGCTGGGCACCGGAGCCCGGGGAGGGGCAGCCACTGGCTCAAGAAAAGCTAGTGGCTGAGCTCAGGCGCAGCGAGCAGCCGGTGTTTGTCTTGGGGAAGGGGATGAAGACCAGCAGGGAGTCGTCAGTGATTGTTCCAGAAAAGGGTCAAT